TCTAAACCTTCCTCTCGATGTGCTCCAGTCCTTGCTAAGAAGCAAGTCCCGCCCCCTGTCTTCCTAAGAGAGAAGGCCAAATTCATCAAACTGTCGAAAACCTGCTACGACGCAGGAATTAAGTACGACAATGCCGTCAACCTCGGGGAGGCTATCAAAATCATCCCCAGCTTGATCGAGGATTTCCGAAAACTCACCAGGCTTTTCACAGCCGAACGAGTCACCTACCACACCTACGCTCTCCCGGAAGAGCGTAAAGTCAGGGCCGTCATCCGAGGCGTCCCCTTCGAGTTCTCGAACGAGGAAATACTTGAGGACCTTAAGTCCCAAGGCTTTCCCGTCGAAGCCGTGCACAAAATGCACAACAGAACGGGCAAGAGATACAACCTTGCCCTAGTAATCCTATCGAACGTGCCGGAGGCTAATGCCATCTTCCGGCAGGTACGCACAGTGTGCGGCCTGTCGAGGGTGAAGGTAGAGCCCCCACATAGGCCCGGTTTCCCCCCCAACTTTATGGTCACGCGGCGGCCAACTGCTCCGCCCCACCCAGGTGCGTTAAGTGCCTAGAACCACATAACACGAAAGAGTTTCCCCGGCCCAAAGAAGCCGAATCCCCGCCCGCTTGTGTCCTGTGCAACCAGACAGGACACCCGGCTAACTACAAGGGTTGCCCACGCGCACCTCAACCTCGCCCCAGTAGGCAAGCTCCACCGCCGGTGAATGACCGCTCATTCCCGGCCCTCCAAAAACGGCCCCGTCAGGGCCTTTCTCAGCCCACCCAGGGCTTCTCTCGACCCTCTCAGGGTCCCCCTAGGCCCCCTCAGGGCATAATTCGGCCCCCTCCGGGCTTCTCCAAGCCAATGCAGCCTCCAGTCTTTCCCTGGGGGCCCAAAAAGGCAGACCCACCGCGGACAACCTCGTACGCACATGAGGCAGAGCCCACAATCGACGACTACAACACGCTATATTCCGCTATTAGGAATATCGATGTTAGGGAAATAACCGTAGTATCACGCAAACTGCGCGCGGCCAAGTCCCCCCAAGAACGTCTCCTCGTTCTTGCGGAACACAATAACCTTCTGTTAGCGTTGTAAGTTAAGTTAACTTAATTAACTTAACTTCAATGACTGAGCAAATTAACCTACCAAGATCCCACGGTCGTATCAAATCTAAGGGTTTATCGCTTGTATCATTTAATATTCGCGGCTTGCGAAACAACCTCCCAGAGCTCAAGCTCTTTCTTCGGAATCGTGAAGTCGATTTCCTCCTCCTACAGGAAACTAATATCAAAGCTAGGGACACTAGAGGCCTTTCTATTAAAAACTTCTCTCTTCTTCGTAACGACAGACCCGACCGCCGAGGCGGCGGAACGGCCATCTATTACAAGAAGACACTTCATTGCTCGCCCATTTCTACTCCGCAGCTTACCATCATGGAAGCCACGGTATGCAGGCTAGCTATGACTGGACACCAGTCCATCCTCATAGCCTCCTGTTACATCCCTTCAGGAACCTATCCCCTCAAAAAGGATTTTGAGGCCATTTTATCTTTAGGCAATTCAGTCATTATGTTTGGAGATTTTAACTCCAAGCATACTGAATGGACATGCCGCACTACGTCCCCTAGTGGCAAGATACTGCTCGATATCACGCAGTCTCTTGATATTACCGTCCATAGTCCTCTCGGTGTTACTCACTTTCCCGATAACACCGATCACGCCCCCGATGTGTTAGATTTTGCGTTACTCCAAGGAGTTTCTCTCAACCTCAGAGCAATCGAGACACTAGACGATCTAGGATCAGATCACCGACCGGTCTCCCTCATTCTTGGCCATCAGCCACCTCCCCCAACACACACAAAAACCTTCACTAACTGGAAGGGATTCAAGGAGTCCCTAGCTAAAGCTTTGGACTCACAGGACTCTACCATCTCCCTACCGTCGGACTTAGATAGTCCCGAAAAAATCGACACCGCGGTCGATTCACTCTCCACCCTTATTAAATCCTCCCTTAAGGAGAACGAAAGGGTCGTCCCGGTTGCTAACAATAGTGGGCTTCCCCTACATATTAGCAACCTATTAAAAGCCAAAAAAGCTGCTTTCCGGAGAGCAGCAAAATATCCCACCCCCGAATATAGGCGCGCGGCCAATCGTCTTCAACGAGAACTCTGCTTCCGCCTCTCTGTATTTCGAGACCTCGAAAAGAGTAAGCTCATGGAGAATATCTCTCCATCTCACACAGCGTACTATCAGATGGCTAGAGCCCTCCGCATAGACGCTATCACCCACACTCCCCCTCTCTCCCGTCCCGACGGCACGGTTGCCTTCGAGGACGAAGAAAAGGCTGAGTGCTTTGCAGATAGCATTGCCGCTCAATGCTCTCCCAGTTCTCAACCCGTCGACCCCTCACACGTCCAGGCAGTGGAGGATGAGGTCCGCCGCCGGAACTCACCCCCACGGCCTCCGAACCTATCTCTGTGTCCAATGATGAGATTTCATCCCTCATCAAAGGACTTAAGCCTAAAAAGGCTCCGGGCGCGGATGGCATCTCCAACCAAGCCCTAAAACACTTTCCCGAGCAGGTGTTAACCTTTTTATCTATTATCTTCAACGCCTGCTTCGACCTTAGTTATTTTCCCACTACGTGGAAAGAGGCTACTGTGATTGGAATTCCCAAGCCAGGCAAGCCTCTCAACCTCCCCCTCCAGCCATCGCCCCATTAGCCTCCTCAAGGCAATGGGCAAGCTCTTCGAAAGAGTCATCCAAATTCGTATGAGGCGCTATCTGTTTCCCACAGACGGCGCCCCTCTTATCATTCCCCATCAATTCGGCTTCCGAGCCAAACACTCATGTCCCCAACAAGTTCACCGCATCGTGGAATATATTCTCAGCGGTTTCTATCCCCGTCGTCATAAGACCATCGCGGTCTTTTTCGATATAGCCAAAGCTTTCGATAGAGTCTGGCACACAGGCCTCATCTACAAGCTCTATAAAATAGGTCTCCCCGATCGTCTAGTTCGTCTCGTGGCCTCCTATTTAAAACATCGTACATTTCGTTTCAGACACGAAGGCACGCTTTCTTCACAGCGAACTATCAAGGCTGGTGTCCCTCAGGGCTCAGTACTTGCTCCTCTGCTGTACATCCTGTTCACCAACGACATTCCCATCCCGTCGAAAGGTGTTCAACTCTCCCTCTTTGCAGATGACACTGCCATCTACTGCAAAGGTGTCTCACTACCCCTTATACGGAACAAGATCCAAAAGTCAGTTGATGACCTAGGAGCTTGGTTCAAAAAATGGCGCATCGATGTGAACCCGGAGAAGAGCTCCGCCGTCCACTTCGATTATAAACGACGCCGTCTCAAAAACACTCCACCAATACGTATGCTAGGGACCCCTGTCCCCTGGCATACGTCCGCCAAATATTTAGGTGTCACTCTAGACACAGGGCTCACTTTCAAGCCCCACGTCAAAAGAGTAACCCGTCACGCACGGTTTTATCTGAGTAGGCTCAACAGTATGTTGGGCCGACACAGTAAAATGTCCCTTCGAAACAAGCGTACCCTCTACAAGGTATGTATACGACCAGTCATGTCCTACGCGGGCCCCGTCTTTGCCCACGCAAACCCTAACATTTTAAATGAACTCCAAATAGTTCAGAACCTCTTCTGTCGTCGAGCTGCGAACGCACCGTGGTACGTCCGTAATGCCGACCTTCATCGGGACTTAGAGCTCCCAACAATTCAACAATTTCTTAAAAAACTCTCTGAGAACTTCTTCAAAGCCTCAGAGTCGCACCCAAACCATTTAATTCGTGAGGCAGCTTCTTATGCAGCCCCACCCCCCTCTCGCTATCGTGTCCGCAGGCCGAGAAACTCTCTCTCGGACCCGCCTAATAAACTTTCAAACGACCTGAACTGTCTCCTGGCGGCTCAGGCCAACTCTAATTAAATAAAATTACTGTAATATCTAACATTAATTTGCCTTCGTAGGCACTCCCTCAGCGGCACTTAGCCGCCTGCGCCCTCTTTTCCCAAAAGAGGGTCGCTCATGATAAGGCACAATAGAGCTTAATCAGCCGGTTGCCTGTCCCCAAAGGCGGTTTTTAGAGGGTATCACTTAGGGTCCCCGGTAGGACAGTGAGCCCCTCATAACCACGATAGACCGGCTATCGTGGTATGCGTAATGCATTTTCCGCCTCCCTACGTATAGGGTAGCCCTTTAATTGCTTCGGGCGCAAAAAAAAAAAGCCTCATTATAATTTGATTTACAATCGATCCGAGTGGCCTAGCGTAATTTTGTTTATGTTTTGTGTAGACGATAAGAGAAAGAACAACGTAGCATTTGTTATTTTGACAAAAGTTCTGTAACATCATATAACAATCTATATGAGACTGAAGTCAAGGCCAAACGTACTTTGGCGGTTTCAGACGAACAACGGTAAAATTGTGAAAAAAAATTACGCAGAAATAGAATATAGCTAGAATAGTTATTTGTACTATTAAATAAGAAACAATAATAATTATGGTAGAAAATCTTCATAAAAAAAATAAACGAATATACCCGCCGTTGTACAATTTAGCCATTAAAAATGGCAACTTCAAACTTCACTCCATAATCGTACAAAAAATTCGTTGTAATGAAGTTGCAAACTTGCGTCCAGATATTATACATATAATCCTCTAAACTATCGTTTAAAAACGTTTTGATAGGACTTTACGGTCTTTAAAATAGAGTTAAGCGTCGTTTAATAAAAAGTAAGTTTCGAAAACGATTGTTGCCAAGTTCGGGTTTTCGTATTGGAAACGATCATTGCCGGAAGCAAGCGTGCGGTTAGATTTAAAATCAAGATATATCTAATATCTAGCAACAACTAGATATTCGTACAGCGCGGGCGAAGCCGGGGTGGGCCGTAGTTAAGTAATAAAATCTTGTCGGAGTTTTTCAAAGGAAACTTTATTTTCATTTTTCAGAGACGTGCAATTTAATAAAACACCGCAGTATGCAGTACAACTGCATCATAAGCGGTTCCGATGCGACCAGACCCTGCAATAACAACGAAGTGGAGGGCACGGTGATACAGCCAGCTTGCAAGAAACCGCACTACTACACCCCAGTGGAACTGCCATATATGGTCTGCCGACAAGGGAACTGGAATGTCTTGCCAACTTGTATTCCAGGTAAGTGTCTTGTGTTGGATGCCTGAAAGAATCAAGTTCCTGAAATCATATCGTGAGGAAAACTGAATCAGGAGATAGGCAGTTCCATCTTAGTCCTCAGGGGTGCCAACGCATCTGCATTTTCATTCTTAATCCAAGATAGATGTAGATGTCTATGGGCCACAGCATCCACTTACCATCAGATGGACTGTGTGCTCGTTTGTCACCCTTATTCAGAAAAAAAACGAGTGTGGTTATGAGCTGACACGACTAAAGTAAAACGATAATATATATACATACATAATAAATATATATATATATATATATATATATATATATATATATATATATATATATATATATATATATATATATACAATATGTAGCGTAAATAACGCACACCCTCAGACACCCCAATTAGTATATTATGTTATAATCATAATACATACACTGAATTTTTAGTTAAATATTTTTATGCACTGATTATTTATCAAATTAGTTATACTAATTCCGGAAGAATGTTGTGGTCACAGTACAAATCCACGAACGCAAAGACTAACGTGCTTGAAATAAAGTACATTTTTCTTTATTTTTATTGAATGACAGAATTAGTAATAATACAAATAAAACTGCACTCTTAAAAGTCTTATTGCCTTAAGTTACGGTCCATTTCAGTTTGTTTTGACTGTACAGATTTAGTGTGACTGTAATTTACGTGGTTTTAATTAATTGTGGGATAAAAAATTACCTATGTTAAAAATGATAGGAATCGCATCAGTAAACGATTCTGAACAAACTACTTTCTCAAAGTGCGTTAATTATGTTACATGTTGTATATTACATATATTAATTTTCTACAAATATTTATACTTATTTTGCGAATTCCTTCCATGATTTTTCACCCGAAAACTCACAAAACATGCACTTTAAAAAGTATATACAATTTTGTTTACTTTAAACGTAGAACATTTAATGTATTGAACAAAATATTAATTCATAAATTTGTTCGAAACGAAATAAAACTACGAAAAATAACTGGCTATGAGAGAAAGAGAGAAAGAAAATGCGCGCGCGCACTGCACTCTCTTGCTTACGTCCGCCACTCAACTCTCGTTCGCCTCGCCCGATCACACTTTTTGTGCCTCAAGGTGGTGTGCTGTCTCCTTTACTTTTTGCTATATTCATTAATTCTATCTCTCAAAATATTACTTCTCTCTATCACATGTATGCAGACGATCTCCAAATCTACACTCAGTCAACTCTGTTAAATTTGCCTTCTGCTGTTGCCGCCATCAACAATGACTTAGCGGCGATTAACCAGTGGAGTCAGCGTTATGGTCTAAAAATTAATCCGTTCAAGTCCCAGGCTATAGTTATTGGTGGTGGAGGGATGGTCTCCAGAGTTGACTGGAACAACCTACCCTCGGTGACATTAAATGACGTTGTCATACCCTACAGTAAATCTGTAAAAAATCTGGGGATATATCTACATTCTACCTTGTCGTGGTCGCAGCAGTTAAAACAAGTGAGCAAAAAGGTGTTTGCTACTATGGGTTCACTTCGTCGTTTACGTTCTTTTCTCCCCATTCCCACTAAGATTATGTTAGCACAATCCTTACTTCTCTCTATTCTCGATTATGCAGACGCAAGTTATCTCGATTTAACTGAAGACCAACTGACCAAACTTGAGCGAATTCAAAATATTGCAATTAGGTTCATATTTGGTTTGCGCAAATATGATCATGTATCCGAATATCGTTTACAGCTCAAGTGGTTACCCATTCGCTTTCGCCGGAATTTGCAAACTGTATCTCTTCTGTACTGTGTGTTATTCAATCCTTTGACTCCAAGCTACTTGAAAGGAAAACTTTAAGTTTCTTGGTCATGATCGACCTGATAGAGTTCTTCGGTTAGCCGGCGAACTAATTCTAGACCATGTTCATTTCGAACAAAATTTATGAAATATTCTTTTACGAGCCAAGCCATAAGGTTATGAAATGAACTTCCACTTGAATGAACTTTGGAAAGTTTCAAAAGTGACGTCAAGAAGCATTACCTAACACTTTGTGGTTATTGATAACCAATTCTAGCAACAGATAGTTATTCTGTGTTTTTCTTTTTTGTTTTATATTTATTTATTTATCATCTATGTATATATATGTATGTGTATATATTTATATATATAAACCTATTTATTAATATGTATGTTTATTTTATTATTATTATTTTTTATGTATTATTGTGGTATTTTAACAAAATATAGTTTAGTTTATTTAGATATTAGAATGTAAGTGTAACATAAAACGCACCACCTCCTACTGTTCTTAATTCCAGTTTCTCCTTAGCCCAAAGGTTGTCTGGAAGAGATCGCTCTTTAGCGATAAGACCGCCTTATTGTACATACGTATATATTAAGTTTTCTCTGTAATATATTTATTCGTTGTATATGTGTGGTGTACAATAAAGTATATACTACTACTACTACTACTTTTCGTAACGCTTTCGTCACGCTTACGCCAGCTTACTCCCCAAGTAAAAAGTAAAAAGTCAAGCGTGCGTAAAGAAGTTTTACTTCAAAAAACGTCTTCCTGATAACAACTCATTAAGAGTTAAAAAATTCCGTTGCTAATGTGCCTGCGGTCGTGGTTGATGTCCTCCAGACCGAACTTTAACCACGACGGCTCAACGGAGACTAGCCATCTGCGCAATTAACAACTTTTGTGGGTTATAGTGTCCGAGTGTATGCGCAAGCACAGGTGTACTCTCTATTCCCTCACTCTCAAAGCCCGATGGGAGGGCAAACTGGCACGACCGGAGACAGATAAGGCGCAGGACCAACGGCTTTACGTGCTTTCCGAGGTACGATGAAGGGGGGGGGTAATACGCCAACTTTCAGATTCCGGGCTGCTACTTAGACAAGAAAAGGGGAGATCTAATATCAGGTAAGATGTTCGGAGGGTGGTAGGTTATGGTAGCTGTAAAACAATATAACAACAGAATGAAAACTCACTACCTAACGATTTCTTATATTTACGGCCTTATAGTTACAGATTATCAAAGTCTACTTCTGAACTAATAATTGCCGGCACAAGTCGTGAGCACACTTTTTATTGGTCGATATGACATTGACAACGCTGACGCTCAACGTGATTGGTTCGTCAGCCGATTCTCGTCGTCTATTGGGTTCGCACGTATCATTCGACTACCGTACACTTGAGAGCAATTTTAGTGACAACTATTTAATTAGTTTAGTTTTGTTAATTGTAGTGTTACCTCGTTGTTAATTGTTGTTTGTGTATTTCTTGTTTTAACTGTTTTTAATATTTACTGTTGTTATTTTTTTTTGTCATAATTTGAGCATTCAGATTTTGGTCTAAATATGCAGAGAAGAAAGAATTCGGTGTTAAATAGACCATCCCGACATATGATCTATTCAGTGTTTTGTTACATGAAAAAATTAGGTATTGCGAAAAACATCATAGACTGCTGAGGCGACTAATGACTACGTAGCTACTGTACGGCGTATATTTAAAAGAGTTAACGACTCAGAATTTCGAAAGAAAGTCATCGAAAATATTCAATTACGAACTGAAATAACAAAGGTACAAATAATTTTGGCCGACAGTGTACCTACGCTGGCTCAACGCCCACCATAGTTCATCTGTGCTCACGACTCGTGGCGTCAACTATACATACTATAAGTGATCTAATAACACAAATAAACAAAAGATATACAGTGTTTAAGTGCTTAAATAATTACTTTTCACTACAAAACAGTGCAGTGAGTGTAAATTAGCTGGTGAATCATCGATCTAGTCGCTATGATTGGTCTAATGACCAACTAGAGGGGATTACCTTATATGGTAATATAAGTTGCATGATCGACGTCTGACACTATTGTCGGATCGCTTGACAAATTTCGTCGTCTAAACTTAATCTCCGTGGTATAACGGATAAGGATTAAGAATACCGTTTCACCGGACTCGGGATCGAATCCTATAAACGCAATTTCAATTTCTTCTCAACACAAATTTTTAAAATTCGGAATTTTTAATTTGAAATATTTCATTAAAAATTATAAATAGTATAAACATAATCAAAATGGCAGACTCAAATAAATGTAATGCCTGTTTGAATGAAATAGCAAACATTCCCTCAGTAAACTGCACACGATGTAAGGCGGGTTGTCATCACTCCTGCATGAACTATACATTAACTGAGTATAAGGCGCTATCAGTTAAGTTAAAATCTAAGTTGATATGCGCGCAATGTCAAAGTAAAGAACGCAAAGGAGGCGATAATTCAAACACTCTGATTCATAACAAAACTGGCAACGCCCCAACATCACCTCAGCTGGAGTTTGTTACGAAGCGAGCGAAGTCACGCAATTGTTCTCCTTTAACGGCCAACAACATACGGGACATAATCCGGGAAGAACTACAATTTCATTTCACTCAGAAAGCGTTGGTAGCTCACTTCAATGTTGAACTTGAGAAAGTGAAGGCTGATTGTGTGGAGCAAACGAAAATAATTGATGTTTTAAAATCAGAGACTGAGCTACTGAAAACTACCAATGAAACGCTTTCATATCGCCTATCTCAATTGGACCAGCATGCGCGTTCTTCTAACGTGGAAATTCAATGCGTCCCTGAGAATAAACTGGAAAATTTGATAAATACCGTAGTGCAGCCAGGAAAAGTAATCAAGTACCCAATCAACGACACATAAATTCATTATTGCTCACCACTAGCTAAGTTGAGTAACTCTTAGTTAGTCCTCCTCCTCGCTCGATACTGGTCAAATTCAAATGCCCGCGACCACGCGACGAATTCCTTGCGGCATCTAGTAAGTTTAACAGAAACAATCGAGAAGACATGTTGAACACCAGCCACTTAGGCATCGGTGGGACTAAGAAAACAGCTGTATATGTAATGGAACATCTTACATGCGAGAACAAGCATCTGCATGCTGCAACACGTACCAAAGCCGAAGAACTTGGGTACAAAATTTGTTTGGGTGCGGGATTCTAAGATATACATGCGAAAGGATGAGCAGTCAGAACATGTATATTTAAAAGACATAGCTTTATTAAATAAGTTGTCATAATACCGCAAAATTTGAATTTGTTTGTACTTAGGGGCCCCTTAAACTGTTTCTATCAAAATGTAAGAGGTTTAAAAACCAAAACAATTGAGCTATTTAATAAGGTTGTGTGCAGCAATTATGATGTTATAGTTTTTACAGAGACATTGCTAAATAGTAGTGTTTCAGATACGGAATTATTCGACGATCGTTATATAGATTACAGACGAGATAGGGAAGGTAGTGGATTTCACAGTAATAAATTGGGGGGTGGAGTTTTGATAACTGTCTCTAAGCGTTTTATATCCTACCGAGTGTATAATTGTCAGTCGGACTGTGAGGACATCTGCGTTAAAATTTAAATACTCGATAAGAAGGGTGTAATTGAATATTTGTATATATGTGGCGTTTATATTCCTTCCCCTATACAGAAGCATATTTTGAAACACTTTGTTACAAACACCAACTGTAAGATACAAAAGCTCAGTTCTAATAAATATTGTTCTTGGGGATTTTAATTAGAGCAGTCTTTGTTGGAACAAGACGTCTACACTTGCACTAATACCTATAACTATAAATAGTTTGTTAAACAATGTGATAGTGGATTTCATGTCATTAAATAATTTATTACAATATAACTCATGCCTAAATATAAAAAAAAATCGAATTCTGAACTTAATAATAAGCTCTTTGACAATCTCACACATTTGTAAAAGTACTGACCCTCTATCCAAAATTGACCCGCTGCATCCTCCTATTGAATTTTGTGTTGAAATCGACCATAAAGAAAATTAAAAATCCCAAGATGTAACCAGATACCGCTTCCACAAAGCAGACTATGAAAAGATAATAAGCGAACTAAATAACATCCAATGGGTAAAAGAATTATCTAACTGTACTAGAGTTGACGAAATGGTGACATATTTCTATAAAATCCTTGGGCTCCTCATCATCAAACATGATCCAAAATACAAACCGCGCTCTGATAAATATCCAATGTGGTTTTCCACTGCATTAGTTAAGGTAATCAACGAGAAGCTGAAATATCGAATTAAATACCGCAAATATGGCAACCCCCCGAGAATTAATCACCTTTGTAGTACTAAGGGACAGATGTACAAAACTTTACAACATAAACTACAGATTATACATAAAGTGCCTAGAGTCATCGTTGTGTTCTAACCCTAAACTTATGTTGAGCTTTACTAAACATAAACGAGGTGGGACCTTACCCTGCACAAATGTCTTTCGGCATAAAGGTCACTTCATCGGGGACAGGCATTTGCGATCTATTTGCATCTCAGTTTTCCTCGGTTTACAACACAGAAAACCTACCCACCCCAGGGCAATCTCATTTGCCACTAGGTGCTAATTACTTAACTACAATATCGGTAACTATAGACCAAGTTTTCAGAGTTTTAAAAAGACTTGACCCTACTAATGGTGCCGGCTTCGATGGAATACCTTCTATCTGTGCCATAAGATGTGCTGGAGCACTTGCTCTGCCGCTTAGTATTATTATTAATAGCTCCTTAAGTTCTGCCATATTTCCAACAGCTTGAAAAAGTGCTCTTGTAATACCAAGACAGTTGACACGAGTGAAGTAAAAAATTATAGGCCTATATCTATACTTCCAACATTTGCGAAAGTTTTAGAATCCCTTTTGTGCCCTATAGTATCATGTCACTTGAAACAGGTTATCGCACCCCAACAGCATGGCTTCGTATAGTCACGTTCCACCTCAACTAACATAGTTTCATTCGTCGAGGATCTTGCTGAGGGGGTTGATCACGGGAAATAATACGATGCAATATACACCGACTTCAGTAAGGCCTTCGACAGGGTAAATCATGAAACACTGTTGCACAAACTTTCCTCCATCGGAATAGCCGGCATGTTTTTAAACTAGTGTAGATCATACCTTTCAGATAGACAATGAATAGTTGTAGCCGGAGGGTAAAAATCCAAAGCATTTACAGCTATATGCGGAGTACCTCAATGGTCTCACTTAGTTCTAAATATTTCATCAACGACACTGGAAAATGTTTCCAGGACTCTAAATTTTCAATTTTCGCTGACGACTTAAAATTATATAGAATATTTAACTCATCTGATGATGCATTATTACTGCAGAGGAATTTAAATAATTTAGCGATGCGGTGTGCTGACAACGGAGTGAGCATGAACCTGATAAATGCCAAGTAATGCGATTCAGCAGAAAGAGACATGTACCAACCAGACTCTATCATATCAATGATATGCCACTTAGAGAGGTTAGCCACATTCGAGACCTAGGAGTCATCATTGACAGCAAACTGCGCTTCAATATTCATATTGACTATATCATAAATAAGGCTCTTAGAATGTTGGGCTTTGTCCTTCGAAACCGTAAAGAATTTAGGAATCCCATGACAAAAATTACAAGATCATACGAACACGTGTTTCGCCTCTACACCCTTTACTGGAGAACGAGGCATTCCATCTCCAGTCCTCACACGGGTGACAACGCATCTGCATTTTGCTTTTTTAATGCAGGATAGATGTAGATGTCTATGGGCCGCAGCAACCACTTACCATCAGGTGATTTCGACTGTGTGCTGCGTTTGTCACCCTATTCTATACAATAAAAATCTTTATTAAAAATTACAGTATATAACTGCCTTGTACGTAGTATGTTACAATACGGCAGTACTGTGTGGAATCCGCACTACGGTACCTATATCAAACGATTAGAGTGTACAAAAGTGATTTTTATGACAACCTATAGTTGCAACTTAACCAAGAAACTCCCAAGCTACAACGATCGACTAAATTTTCGCCTCATATCACTCCGACACCGTAGGGAACTAATGACGTCATGTTTCTGTAAGCTAATAAATGGAAATTTTGACACCCCTGATCTTTTATCTAGAGTAAATATTGCTGTACCTAGAAAGCTATACAGACTTAAGAAACCTCCTTTTAAAAGTTATCCAGCTACGTCAAATTTGGGTCATTATGCTCCATTAATTTTATACGTGGTAGAGATATGCTGCAGTTATATTAGTAGTATAATTGTAGCATGATTGGGTCGGCTCGACCGGGGCAGGACCACGCTCTCACAGAATACCAGCGTAAAATAGTAGCATAATGCTGCTGTGTTTCGTATGGTGAGTGTAGAGAACCGGAGAGCCTTTTTTACTGGAAACGAGGCATTCCATCTTAGTCCTCAGGGGTGACAACGCATCTGCATTTTGATTCGTAATCGAGGATAGATATAGATGTCTATGGGCCGCAGCAACCACTTACCATCAGGTGGACTGTGTGCTCGTTTGTTACCCGATCCTATATAAAAAAAATTAAACAGAGCGATGAAGAGTTACAATCTCATTCACAGCTCTATATCCAGTGAAACAGAAAAAGATCTTCTCAGCTAGGTATTTTCTCAAACCACTTAACACAATTTAAAAATTTTGCAGCTCAAGTAATAACGGAATAATTCGATTATTATGTACGATAGGTAATTTTAATTTGAATATGTGTGAGCGTTATTTTTATTTTTATTTTTCTTTCAATTTTTAATTTTGACTTATAAATAAATTTTTATTTTAATGACATTTCGGCTTGTTTAAAATTTAATTGATGTTTTTATCTCTATTAGTTTTTAAATGATATATTGCTCTTGACATAGTTAAGTGTAATGCATTGATAAAGTTTTATTATTGTTGTCGTTAATAGTACTAATAAGTTAATCAATTGTAATAACTTACCTATAATAATGCACACATTTTAATATAAATAAATTATAGTTCTTTACAACATAAGTTAAACTACGAGACTTTCCAAAAATGCTATTTGCGTCTATAATTGAAGTAGCACTTTATATATTTCTTTTTTTTTGTTTTTCTGATATTTTTGCATGTAATAGTGCGTACTTTGTTGGTTTAATAAAAAATAAATAAAAATTACTTCTTGAATAATAGAAGTTTTAAAGTTTTTTTTATAGAATAAGGGTAGCAAAAAAGCACACAGTCCACATGATGGTAAGTGTATGCTGTGGCCCATGGACATCTACATTTATCCTCGATTAAGAATCAAAACGCAGATGCGTTGTCGCCCCTGTGGGCTAAGATGCAATGCCTCATTTCCAGTAAAAAGGTCTCCCGATCTCTACACTCACTATATGAAATACAGCAGTACTACGCTGCTATTTCACGCTGGTATTCTGTGAGAGCGTGGACCTTCCCCGTTCAAGCCGATTCATTCGTGCTACAACTATAATATATATATATAGCTCAGCGTGGTTCGTGTAATATACACATTGCTGTATGTTTACATTACTGTACTTACACAAGAAAGTAGAAATTTCTTATTCAATAACATGTAACGTATCTTCACAGAATGCGGCTTACTTACTTCGAAGAATGCATCAACTGGTGCAGTTGTACCCTGGCATGCTGGCATCTACTACAAAAATACGACAGCCGCAACACACGAGCATTTTTGCAGCGGTTCCCTGATAAGTAACTCTGTTGTAGTGACTGGTATGTGAAATATGCGAGTAACTTAGATATTATTTGGATATAATCGGAGACTAAGAAGCTTGTCATCTGCCAAGTTCATTTGCGGGATTTTCTACTTTGAATTACACTTGAGCACATGTTGCGGGATAAGCAATTAAATAAAAAAATGAGAAAATACATTTATTTTTCAATAATACTTTTTTCATAAATAAGTACCCAGAGAGTAATTCAATTCTAACAATACAATTCACTATAAGACGCGTAAGTTGAGAATCATTTCAAGATTTAGTTCAAATAGGTAGAGAACATTTTAAACAAAGCCAATTATAGGCCGTTTTATGTCCAATTTTATCATCTTTAGTTGGGAACATATATATAAAATATTATATATATATATATATATATATATATATATATATATATATATATATATATATATAAAAGAAATTGTCACAACTGTAGAAATATGCAAAATAAATTGTAACATGAAAATCAATAAATAAATAAATATTCCACATTGGACAAACAAAGACTAACATCTGTGCGTGCGTGCGTGTGTGTTTGTGTGGTTTGACTTTGAAGCTTCCGGTACCCAAAAACGCTGAACCCATTCCAAACAGGTGATATGGGGCAAAGTTGGGCAACGTTGCAATAGTACAGTGCTGTTACTGAGTATACCATTGTTCAGTAGTTACTTAATGCTGCTGTATTTCGTATGGTGAATGTAGTGAGCCGGAGATCCTTTTTACTGGAAACGCGGCATTTAATCTCAGTCCTCAGGGATGACAAGGTATCTGCATTTTGATTCTAAATTGAGGATAAATGTAGATGTCTATGGGTCACAGCATCCACTTACCAGAACCAAAATTGAAACCAAAGCGCTTCTTCTTTGTAACAAATGAAGTCCTGGAATGATTTTCATAAAAGATTGGAAAATACCAAAATGCACGCCTCATAATCTCATTAGATTATATAAAAAGAAAAATATCTCTTTTTCCATATTTGATTCGAAGATCCATGAGAATATTTTATTATAGAAAAGCACCAGTTTTTTTTAATTATTTTTATTAATTACAATTAAACGAGACCAAATAACTCAGTGATTTTTAAAAGGAACCTGTGCGTTGAAATTCTAAAAAACCCAATAAAAAAAGAATTATTTTGATACATTAATTCTAACGAAAGTAAAATCGTGCGCATTCCACACATATACACAAGCGGACACCCTTAAAAAAATTTTCAATCAGTATTTTAACAATAGAGAACTGTGTGCTCGCTTGTCACCTTTATTCTAAAATAAAGTTTTAGTTTCACGTATTAATATGCATTTAGATATTAAATAAGTCGCGTGAGGCGTTTAATATCGTCACCATAAGCTTTGCCGCCCTATAAAACCAAAGCTAGGAGAATGACAGAGACAAAAGCACAAAGTTGTATACTATGACTAATATATTAAGAAAAAAAATAGCAAACAAGCTTTGGCATTAATTAGGAACACTTCGAAAATTCTACTTAAAAAAATTAACTATACTACACCGTACTTAAACCGACTAAAATATTTACTATAATGTCAACTGTTAAAATAACGTCGATAAAGCATCGCCCTTTTAACCCTTTAGTATTTTATTGATCAATGAAGAACGATTGTATCACAAAGCCATCTATGCAAATCTATGCCTATCCTGAAACAAGGCTGTAGTTTCCTAGTTACAAGAAAGGTACCATATTAACCGGATGACCAATTACCCTCACGTACTATACAACGTTATATTTTTCAATTCTGATTAGCTTTACACAATTTCAGCGGCTCACTGTTTTTGGGATGAAAACATTAAGGCGATCAGGGATGAAAAAAACTACGCAGTAGCTGTTGGAAAACTATACAGCGATTGGGGTAACGCTGCTGATGAAGAGTACGCTCAGAAGTCTGACGTAAGCTTTGTAGATATTTTTTTAAACTGAAATGATAAATCAACTGACAGTCCACCTGGTGGTAAGCGGCTAGTGCAGTCCGTGAAGCCATGAACACCTGCTGCCAACTTCAAATGACGAAGTCTTCTGATGCGTTGTCACGTCTGAAGACTAAGATGGAATGCCTGTCCTGCAATTCAACTGGATCTCTGTACCCTTCAGACCGGACCACAGTCAAGTATATCCCTTTGGCAGCAGAAATAAGTTCTATAATGGTGACAAATGGGCGCACAGTCCACCTGGTAGTAATTGGATGCTATGGCCCTTAGACATCTACATTTCAGCTCGATTAAGAGTCAAAGTACATATGCGTTGTCACCCCTTATGACTAAGATGGTATGCCTCGTTTCTCTCAAAGAGTCTCCGGTTCTCTACACTCACCATACGAAACACAGCCACAATAAATTAACAATATAATATGTCGGTTTAGTGCAAATAAAGAAAATTACAAAATTAGGCCCCAGTAGATCAAAACTATATCAAACATAATTGAACACGATTTCAAAATAGAGGCAGGTTTTGAGTGGTGAAGCACTAAATTGTGAATGACATATCGAGGGCAGAATCTATGGATGGTCCTCGGGATTCAGGTTCTCGACACAGAGTAATGTAAGAGATATGAAAAATTTTAATTCTCAATTGTAGTACGAGTGGTGAATCCTAGATGTAATACTACATGTGTTTAATCAGTTCCAGGTACTAATCTTGAACGAAGAAGCACGAATTATAATGAATTTTATTTTAAAACTGTACAAAGACCGAAGTGAAACTCATAGCGACATCTATCGGAAAGAGTAGATCAATGTCTGTAAGCATATATAAACATAATAAAGGAAGAGCTACGCTAAAAGCAAATTATGCTGCAGCATGAATATGTCGGCTAGACCGGGAAAGGTCCACGCTCGCACGAATTGCCTGCGATTCACGCAGGCAATTCGTGCGAGCGTCATTCTCTTATCTTACGTATGATGTATTCCATTTCAGTCCGCAGAGGTAACAACACATCTAGGTTCTTAATCGAGGATTGATGTAGCAGTCAGTAGGTGCCAACATAAAATCACCATCAGGTGGACTCTGTCCTCATTTGTCACCCATACTTAGATGAAAGATCCAAAAACTAGCAATAATCTAACGATTTTACGTGGTTAGAGTATTGTTGCAGATAAATTACGGTTGTAGCACGAATGGGTCGGCTCGACCGGGGAAGGACTACGCTCTCACAGAATACCAGAAAAAAATTAACAATTTCATTCCGCTGTTTTTCTTATATATAATTATAGTTTATATTTACTAAATTGTAAACAAAGTGTTCCGATTTAATTCTCAGATAAAGAAAATCGCCGTGCCGAAGCAGTTCCGTGGCGAAGAGCCAAACTACCAGGATGACATCGCCGTGGTGGTGGTGTCGCCTTCCTTCGAATACCAGTTCCACGTGCGGCCAGTGTGCCTCAATTTCAAATACGAATTGTACGAAGAGCAACTGAAAAGCGGAAGCGTTGGCAAGGTTTCTGTCAGAATTTGAGTCTTGTTGTTCACTTTAAGATTAAAAGATTAGAACTATATCCATTCTCGATACTTCTTACCTGGTAGAGCCTCGCTGCAGCTATATTGTGGTTGCAGCACGAATGGGTCGGCTCGACAGGGGTAGGACCACGCTCTCACAGAATACCAGCGTAAAATAGCAGCTTAATGCTGCTGTGTTTCGTATGGTGAGAGCAGAGAACTGGAGACCCTTTTTACTGGAAACGAGGCATTCCATCTCAGTCCTCAAGGCTGGCAACGCATCTGAATCTTGATTCTTAATTGAAGATAAATGTAGATGTCTATGGGCCACAGCATCCACTTACCATCAGGTGGACTGCGTGAATTAAGTTGACGACAACGACTTTATTTAAAAAAATAATTTATTTATACAAAATTACAGAGTTACAGCTTATAATTACTTCCAAAACTAAATCCGTCTTACAGTTAACTTAGCCTAGTATTTATATTAAAATATCTCTTACTAAGCAACCCGTGCTATGACGCACGGCCTAATTCCTGTGATTGCTTGTGAAGCATATATTAGAGGGGTCATCACACTTAACCCGTGCTCGTTTGTCACCCTTATTCTATAAAAAATATAGAAACAATAAATATCCCTGATCTCTTTATCTGTCTCATGAACTCATTAGGCAATAGATGGGTAGTCCCGATGACAATGCGGAGTCAACGGGATACCGCCATCTATCGGTCCCTATAAGAATTTTATTATTGTACTTACCGTTCTTGCTATTTATGAAACCCTTGACACGCAATTGAGTAATGAATTGTCTTAAGCCTTTACGAAACGGCCCAACAGAATTTCATTATGCTTCTATCGTTTTCGGAGGGAGTACCAGATATGTGTACACTTGGTACTGGTGTCTGTGTCCGATATATATAGTTTTAGACTTTTTTCATTTGTGATTTCTTACGGACACCCAAAGAATATGTTAAGAAGATGGCTGACTTGTGTATAATGTAAATAATGTAATTGAATAAGTATGGCTCAAAATAGGTCATCATCGTTCCTTCATAAGTCAAAGCAACAAAACGCGGCCCTGAGCCACGTGCATTGATTGACTTCCTGCATGTCTTACCGGACTGCCACCCGAAAACCGTTGTTTCCCATCGATTGTCGGTTTGATGACCAAAATGCTTAAAATAACCACAATAAAAGTTAAATTTACAGCCTATTTACGTCCCACAGCTGGGTACAGGCCTCCGCTCATTTCTGAGATGGTTCAGGGCAAGGAATAGTCCGTCGCGCTGCCCCAACGCGTTTGGCGAACTTCACATGTCTTCGAAATATTTTTTTCTTAGTTCTCAGACAAGCAGGTTTGCTCACGATGTTTTCCTTCACCGCCGAGCACGTCGTAAATCAGCAATTAAAATTGCAATTGACATTTTCATTGGTGCCAGCGGAGATCGAACTCGGTTTGCTCGCGTACCGTGAAATTTACAGCGACCATCTGAACTACCAATGGTAAAAAGAAATAACAGTCTGAAAATAAAATATCGTTAACTATATCTTTATTTCACAATTTTTTTGTATATCTGTCGCAGTTAAGACTTTGGATCGATTATTGACGAACTATTTAATTTTCCGACAAATTATATTTAAGGACTATGGATAGTATGAGTGTCTCAAAATTGAAGACCAAAATACGTGCAAAAAAGCAGAGAAGGCGCTGTATCGAAAGCCATTTATCCAACAAGTGTAAGAAGGAAACGTTGGAAAATATGTGTAGTGAAGTTTGTATTTAACGCGATCACACAGTCCTCCTGATGGCAAGTGGATACTTTCGCTCATAGACATGTACATTTATCATAATCAGATTCAAAATGCAGGTGTGTTGTCACCCCTGAGAACTAAGATGGAATGCCTCATTTCCACAGAGCGTGGTCTGTCGAAGGTCGAGCCGATTGTATATTAGAAATACCACGTAATTATTAGAAATATTTCATTCATACATTCATTCATCATCATCAATATAGCCCTTCACAAATCCACTGCTGAACATAGGCCTCCCCCAAGGAATGCCACAAAGCACGGTCCTGAGCCACCTGCATCCATCGACTTCCCGCATGTCTTGTCAGGTCGTGACTCTATCTAGTGGTGGGTCGCCCTACACTTCGCCTACCGGTACGAGGCTGCCACTCGAGAAATTTTTTCCCCATCGGTTTTTGGTTGTCGGTTATATGATCGGCCCATTGCCACTTCAGCTTACTAATGCATTGGGCTACGTCGGTCACTCTGGATCTACTGCGGATATCCTCATTTCTAAGTTTATTACGCAGAGAAACCCCGAGCTTTCCTTTCCATAGCTCGCGTGAGCGACCTTCAGTTTCCCCACATGGCCAGCAGTAAAAGACCACGATTCGAACCCATAATCCATTACTGGTAACACGCACTGAGGTTGCAATCTCGTTTTCAAGTTTTGAAGTATACCTGACGAGTAAATGTGTTGTAAATGCCCAACCGCTGCCTAGCCAAGTTGAATCCGTCGATCGTATTCTTTAATTACAGCCGAACAAAGTCCACAGCTGATCACTGGCTCCCCCCATATATACATTTCCTTATGTTTGCCACAATTGCCATGCCAGCCAGGCGGGTTGCCAACCGTAGTTTTTATTATTTCGAGTTTGTTATCAGGTAGATGCTGTTGCTCATATCCTGTTCTATTCCCCTTTGTCGGAGCTGACAAAGAGCCGTAAGAGCTTACGACACAAGATATGGGTTGTAGATGTTCTTACGCCGGCACTACATGCCAAGGTTTGCAATGTATTATTAGAAATACATAAGGCCGGCAACGCACCTGCAATTCCCCTGGTGTGGCGGTTGATCATGGGCGGCGGTAGTTTCTTACCATCAGGTGAGCCGCATGCTCGTTTGCCCTCGCTTATATAAAAAAATATAAAAAGTAATAAAATAGTCCTCAGAGGTGGCTACAGGTATCCTTGAACCGCAGTAGCCACCTGCGACCTGATGGGATGTAAATTTGTTTGTCACATCATTTATATAAAAAATGTAAGTATTTTAAAGTGGGCTTTGTACGGATATAAATATTAAAATGTGAGTAATGATTACAGTCTGCTGCATGGGATGTTTCTCCTGACAACAAAGTATCCAACTCAAATAGGCTGCAAGTGATCGATATGCCTTTCCGTTCTCATGACGACTGCACTACGACTTCAGCCGAGGACAAGTTCTGCGCTGGGGATGCAAATGGTAGTATTTTTTATTCTATACTGTAACCACGGCATACGTCGTAGAGCCACGCTGCATCTATATTACAGTTGTAGCATGAATGGGTCGGCTCGACCGGGGAAGGATCACGCTCTCACAGAATACCAGCGTAAAATAGCAGCTTAATACTGCTGTGTTTCATATAATGAATGTGAAATGAATCTTAGTCCTCAAGACAATAAGCCAATAACATCTGCGTTTTGATTCTTAATCCAGGATAGATGCAGATGTCTATGGGCCACAGCATCCACTTACCTTCAGGTGGTCTGTGTGCTCGTTTGTCACTCTTATTCTATGAGTCCTGTCACCTAATTAACTGGCAACTAGCAAACGTAATCACCTTACTTTCGTTCTAGGTCCAGCGTTGTGCGGAACAAATGGCGGTAGTGGTATCACATTCCCCGCTACCATCCAGAACACCACCAGGTACTACCTTCGCGGGGTAGCATCCATCAGGCCGACAAACGACGGGAAGCAGTGTAGCACTTTCACCACGTTCACGTCGATCGCTAAATACCAGAACTTGATCAAGACGTACTGGTTCTTGTAGCCGAGATACCGGACTTCTAGTTCCATACAGCACGTACAGAAGTCACACACGAAACGCAATTTGTAATAAATGACTATTTAAACAATTGCTTTTTTATTTTTTTTGTAGATTAAAAAAGAGATTTACAATTTATTTATTTTTTCATTTATTTCATTTATTTCATTTATTTAAACAACCAAGGCTCATATTTTGTTAGTATTACTTATAACTAAACTTAACACTATGTTAGTAGGCATAATATTATTATTATATATATGTGAAGTACAAAAAAATAAATACATTTATATTTATATGTACCCGATATGGCACTACAGTGGCATATGTATAGGCAGACCAGTCTGCTAGCAATCACTTTCAGGATACTATTGTTGCTCCCCCGCACCATGCGCTCCGGAGACGCGCACCTCTTGCGCATAGTTGCGTAAAATCAGTCCACTCGCGCTTCCGCGAACATCCCTGATGCACTACAGAAGCGAGGCAGTCCCAGCAGCACCCTAAATGCGTTGTTGTATTGTACTCGGAGGGCGTTGTGCCTTTAGTATATTTAGCCCACAGGCTGCACGTGTAAAATGACGCGCAGTAAGCTCTAAATAGGGCTATTTTAAGTGCCCTTGAACAGCGTGCAAACCTGCGAGCTATCATGTTCGCTCTTACTGACAACGCCATCAGTTCCCTCTCAATGTCATCATCATCCCTGAGACGAGGAGTCAGAACATGGCCAAGATATTTATACCTAAACGCTCTTTGTAAAATATTACCATTAATTGAAATAGATGGGGTTCTTACTCCCGGTCTCAAAGACCATTACATGGCTCTTTTTTACATCATAATCCAAACCATGTGCGAGGGCGTAAGCTTTACAAATCTTTACCAGTCTTCGTAGGCCACATACAGATGCACTCAACAACACCATATCATCTGCGTAACTGATGTCTATGTGCCAAGTTTACCTCTCAGCTCATTCGCATACAGGTTGAAAAGCGTGGGCGAACTCAAACCCCCCTGTCTCATCCCGCACTCCAAACTGTATGATTTAGATAGGGCGCCTTCCCATCTCACATTATTGACCTGGTTCCCGTACCAATACTTGAAAATATTTATGAGTTCCAAAGGTAGTTGGATCTTCTCCAGTTTATCCCACAGTAAGTCGTAGGACACAAGGTCAAAAGCCTTTGAGAGGTCTAAGAAACAAGCGAACACTGGCGTTTTGTGTGCCGTGTAGTAAGTGACAGTGCGCTTAAGACACAACACCGCGCTTTCTGTAGACAATTTCGGTCTGAACCCAAATTGACTATCGTACGGTTTTACGTATTTATTTAATTGCGAATTAAGCATACTATCAAATACTTTTGAAATGACAGTTGCTAACATTATAGGTCTATAGTTGTTCCGCGAGATCGCCTGTTTTATTCTTCACTATAGGCACTACAACCGTATGTATCATGCCAGGGGGCATGTATCCATGTCCCAGGCCGAGATCAAATAATAAATATAGTACCCTAGGTAGGTGCGGGCTAGCAAACTTGAGATGTTCGATACGGAGCCCATCATGGCCAGGGGATTTACCTCTAGACATAGATTTAACTACCTGATCTATTTCTTTCATTGTAAAATTTCGACTGTATGTTTTTTTTTTGTATCTGTTACCCGATATCTTCGTCAATGAGGGCTAATAATATTCCGCTAACTTGATATCGCTATATGACACTGAGGTGAAGTTTTTGTTACAAAATGTCATTTAAATGAGAAGTTAGCTTTAAATAAAAGTTCGTTACTTTTTAGAATATTACACTATTTTTCCTTGTGGAATCGACTACCATCAGAGATTTTTCCGGACCGATACGACTTACGGAACTTCAAGAAAAGAGCCTACTCCTTTTTATAAGGCGGCAACGTACCTGCAATTCCCTTGTTTGCAGTTGATCATGGGCGGCGGTAATCACTTACCATCAGGTGAGCCATATGCTCGTTTGCCACCTCTCATATAAAAAAATACTAATACACAATACAATGCCTCAACGGTTCGTCCTTCAATTTTTAGCACGTTTTACTCTATTTAATATTTTTTATTATTATTGTCTAATTAATATAAAAAATAACTAATATTAGAGAAAAAAACTTCAACCTATACATTTTTCGAACAATCGACTACCCCGCTATGAAATCTGTCAAATGTTACACCTCACGTTTACGTGGCGCCGCCCTGGTGGCAGAATAAGTAATCGATGCCTTCATTGTGAACTGATTCTCATGATGCTTTTTCCATTATATAGGTTATACTTCAAGGCTTGTGGCTTTGTGACTCTATAGACGAAATTGAGTCCTAAATACACTCAAATATCACACATTTTTACCCTTACCCTTTGGCTGAATCAAAGAAAACAAATAAAATTTTATAAAAATTTTCTTCAGAAGAAGAAGCCTTCAGAATATGAAACTATTTTAGATCTTTAAGACGACTTTTTCTTTTTATTAAAAGATTTTTTTTTTTTTTAACACTGAAAAGTCATACACACGAATTGACAACCTCTTCCTTTTTGAAGTCGGTTATAAATTGAAGTGCCTTATAAACTTTACCTGAACTCTTACAATTAGTGTTTATAGCTATTTAATATAATACGATGGCCAAATTCTACTTGCGTATTCTAAAAAGCTTCGAACTTACGCGTTATAAGAAATTTGAATACTACTGTAGTTTATGTCCGAAAATTTTTTACAAATGCGAAGTCAAATCCTAGTATTTACAGGCTTTTTATACTATTATATCTACCTACCTAGCACAGCGCTGGGCGCAGGCTTTCAAGTCCAAGGGGGAGGCCTTGGCGGTTAGTTTGGACATAGCAAAGGCCTTCAATCGGGTTTGCACAATGCGCTTCTTTCGAAGCTAAGAAATTATGCATTTGCATCACAATTTTTTTCTCAGATCGGAGCATTAAGATAGTAGTCGACGGTGAATGCCCTGACTCCAAGCCTGTAAATGCTGGTCTTCCACAAGGCTGCATACTATAGCCTACCCTGTTCCTTCTGCATATCAACGGTATATCACAAACCAGGTAAGATTTATTGTTATGCATATAATAGCACTGGCAAACTGGCGATGCCTTATACGCCGGGCGTGCTAATATTTCTTGGAACAACGTCGTCGAGTGCCGCAAAAAGTAGTGTCTGAAGTCGAGTCTTTGTTGAACGAAATTTCAGATTGCATTAATCTCATGGCTGTTAGACGGGAGATGAGGCTGCAATCGTCAACAGATTTGACAGCATACAGGCAACTGAACAGACAGATCTCCAAATGCATGCGGCGAGACTTACGCAACTTTAATACTAGTTTGATGAGTAGATGAGTAGGGCAACGGAACCGAAGAGGCCAGCAGCTGGCCGACTTTATGGAGAAAGAGGGACTCTTTATGATGAACTCTTTCTTCCAGAAGCGGCCCCACAGGAAGTGGACCTGGTCGAGCCCCGACGGTTCGACAAAAAATGAGATTGACTTCATTATGACGACCAGACGCCAACTGTTCAGTGATGTCCCAGTGATCGCAAGGGTGAAAACTGGCAGCGATCACCGAATGGTTAGAGGCACACTGAACCTAAATGTTAAGTTGGAGAGGTCTCGTCTAATGAAGTCAACGCTCCGTCCCCCCTCGTGCTCTAATCCGGAAACCCGAAACCTTTCAGCTCGAGTTACAAAACCGCTTTCAGTGCCTAGAGGATTGCAATGCAGTGGACGATATGAATGACAAGCTCGTGGAAACTCTCCATGCGGTTGGAGCTAAGTTCTGCAAGACCCGCCGCAGAAGAACACAAAAAACTCTCCGATCACACTCTTAATCTCATGGCTGTTAGACGGGAGATGAGGCTGCAATCGTCAACAGATTTGACAGCATACAGGCAACTGAACAGACAGATCTCCAAATGCATGCGGCGAGACTTACGCAACTTTAATACTGCTCGTATTAAAGAAGCGATCGAGCGGAACCAGGGCTCCAAAGTCTTTGCCAGAGATCTGTCTGCCAGTAAGAGCCAACTGTCAAAGCTGAAGACTGAGTGTGGCAGCATCGTTTCCGGGACACCTGAGATTTTGAGTGAGATTGAGAGGTTCTATGGGCAGCTGTACACATCATCGTTGGAGCCACACGCAAGTGTGAGTAACGATCCAAGCTCTATAACAATGCTCTATAATTGTGTTTATTTTAAATATTTTGGTCACCAAACCGACAATCGATGGAGAACAACGGTTTTCGGGTGGCAGTCCGGTAAGACATGCAGGTAGTAAATGTATACAAATGGCTCAGGGCCGCGTTTTGTGGCTTTGACTTATGAAGGCCTGTAATGATGATGACCTATTTTGAGCCATACTTATTCAATTACATTATTTACATTATACACAAGTCAGCCATCTTCTTAACCAGTTATTTAGGTGTCCATAACAAATGACAAATGAAAATAAGATGAAATATATATATATATATATATATATATATATATATATATATATCGGATACAGGGACTAGCATTAAAAAGTATAATGTAAGTATAATGAAATCCTGTTGGGCCGTTTGGTAAAGGCTTAAGACAATTCATTACTCCATTGCGTGTCAAGGGTTTCATAAATAGCAAGAATGGGAAGATCAATAATAAAATTCTTATAGGGACCGATAAATGGCGGTATCCCATTTCGTTTACACCAGCTGTAAAATACTCAGGTCGATGACCGGCTGCAACCCTAAAGGTGCATGAATGTATATATATGTTCTGCGATCAATTCGTTCACCAAACGTGAAGATACGGCCTTATTACCTTGTCTTCTTTTATTTTAAACATAAGAGCGGAAGTAATACCTGGATGATCGAGCTTTACTCGGTTTTTTTTTAAATTACATTTAGATACAAATTACATACTGATGAAACATGAAATATTTTTTGATCTTATTGACATAATAGAAAAAACTGAACTGGTTATTTGAATAAAAAATCAATCAAAAATACTAAAAAAGGGCT